TGTACGCTGTGAAGTACTAGGAGGATTGCCAGGATTCATACATCGGGGAGACCACACACCCTCTGGCAAAGAGGATGGCACAACACAGCAGAACTACCTCGTCAGGCCAGGACTCAATCAATCATTCAATCAATCAATGATGAGGATGTAACATCCAGGACAGGGAGGAACGCTGGTTTGAGCGCGGAGTCAAGGAGGCCATTTATGTGAACAGGGAAAGACCATCTCTGAATGGAGGAGGGGCCTAAGGGTCCATTTGTCACCATCGTACAATGCTGTGATTGCAGCCATTCCCCAGCTCTCTGTACTGTGTTGGAATTTCTTCCATTATTTGTTGGTCACATTGTTTTATTGTATAAGGCGTAATTATTGAGTGAGCACAGTCAGTTCCTCATATGTGGAAAATAAATAAATGAAAACCTACTTATATAATCTGGGCTTTTTTTGTCTTTTGTTTGCATATTTGTTATTATTATTATTTACTTTATGTATTTTTTAAAAAATATATATTTTTAATGTATTTTTGAAATGTTTTTAATTTGGTAAAGTCACATAACTTGCTCATGTTTAGTTGACATTGATCAGCTCTTTTTATTAAACTGTGTTGCTCCACACATGTCAGGGAGCTGGGTCTGAGGGACCCAGGGCTCAGGAATAGTTTCTGGACTTGTGTATTTTTGGTGCTGCTGTCCCTCGGTGCATATGTGTGTTTGAGCACCAGTTTACAGGCATCTTCAGGGGGCAGTGTGCAAGGAGTATCATGGGAGCGGAGACATGGAGCACGAGCACTGGGAAGAAGACACGGAACGGCAATCGGGGTGCAGGAGGATTCTTTGTTGTGCAATTATTTACGACTGTGGTGGGGCGTGGTCTGCGGTGCCGTGCAGGTAGGGCGAGTTAAAACACGGGGACTCAGGGGTTGGTGCGTGTTGTGGTGAGAAGTGCTCAATAAAATGGCTCAAAACTATGATCCTTGGACCCGTCGTGCCTTAATTCCACCACAACGACACTGTAAACAAACACACTGTCTGCTTCCAAGAGTCCAGCATTTGGGTCCTCTGTCCCCACAACCCCACGGTCTGCCAGCGCAGACTGTGACAACACATGAGATAAAAATACTTTTCTCAGCAGAACATTTCTTCTTATCTCTTTTATCAGGTTCTTAAAAGCACCGAGCATTTTCTGTTGAGCTCACAGGATGTGATC